GCCGGGCCGGCCGGGGCTCCCGCAGCGGGACGGCGGGGTCGGCGCGGGCCGGGGCGGCCTCCCGGAGCCGAGGGGCCGAGCGGGGCCAGGCCGGGGCCGCGGAGGCCGCGGCGTTTGCCCGGCCCGGGTGGCGCTCAGGCCCTCGTTAGCTACTGGAGTTGGCAACTTCAGGTACGCACCATTGTGGCCCCGAGCAGCACCGGAGGTGTTTCCCAGAGCAGGGCCTGGCCCCAACTTGGAGGAGTTGTGTGTGCCAACTTCGTGTGTAGTCAGAACGCGATGTGGGGTTCTCATCCCCACTTTTTGCAATTGGAGGCCGGTGAGACGGAGGTGGAACTCGGGCTTCCGGTGAGGAGATCGTGTTGAATTCTTGTGGGGCTTACTAAGGCAGCATGCTGCCATGCCCGAGGACCGTGCACTGTACCGGTTACAATTATAATGTGAACTAGTGCATGAGAGACTTCCCAGATGCAGTTTTAATTTACAGTGTTCCTTGGAATAAAGATAAGCTTGTAATCAAACAAAGGTAAACCCTGCCTATGCGAAGATGAAGTATCAGCCACAGTAGGCAGCAGTTTACTTCAGGGTTTACTTGAGCAAAACCACACCAACTCCCACAGCGTGGAATCCCCATAGTTTACTTGAATGAATGAATTTCACTTGGACTGTTCGGTGTTGTGAAGGCTGGGAAGAACACGACTGTCATTGCTTACAGCTATTACAGATTAAATACAGAGAGGTAGCATGTAGCCTGTAGCTTTCTTCTGCTCTGGTTTCTCCCCAGTGCTGCATGTATGGATGTGGGAAAAAAGATTTAGGATCCATCCCTGCTCCAGGGAAATAGTCCCCTAAACCTTTTGGTGCCTGATCCTTGTTTCTGGGTAGTGGGCTTCGTCAGGGATCTTAGGTGAGGATCCAGGGCTGGGCCACGGGATCTGCCAAGTTATGTACCTGGACCTGGAGCTTTTCTCTTCAAAGCATCTGTAAGGTAACATTTCGCCTCTCTTTAAAGATACTACTTCTGTTTCCCTATATCTTTTAAGACTCCTCCGAATTGGTCCCTGGCCCCGCTCCTTCCCCTTCTGACCATGGAAACTCAAACACTGTCTCCCTCAGGCAGTCATCTGAGTGTCCTGCCTTGTTAGGACACCTGCAGGGAGTGGCAAGGCAGGGGTTTGGGTGCCAGCTTAAGCACCGGGTGTGGTGTGGAAAAAAACGCTGCTGTGCCAATTGGATTCCAAGCCATTTACCTTCCATGCTCCTCTCCCGCCTTGTTTTGGAATGGATAAGCCCAGTTTTTAAGAGCTGTTTCAGAGAACAGAAACCAAGTGACCTTCTTGTGTAACTTCACTCCGCAGAGAAACTCGGCTTTTTCCTTTTTTTAAAAAAACCACCGTGGACAGTTTTAGGAAACCTTGTGTTACTAAGAGAGCCTTTTATTTTGCTTATTGAGTTAATTGTGTGAAAATCAGGAAGTACACTGAAAGGTGGCAAAGCCTTTATGTCCAGTTCTTCCTTCTTGGTGGTCTCTGTCATTCTCAAGAACATGTGTTCAGAAGGAATGTGTGCACGGCCGCTGGGAATGTGCCGCCTCTCTTGTGACCTCTCACAGTTGTACAGGTGGCACTCATGTTTGTGGTACCTATATACTTTTTAGAATTACTGTTCTCATGAGGAATCAGTGTGACTTTCTTAAATGGCTGTTTTGTTGACGTGATGTGCTTTAGGGTGTCCATTTACCAGCATATTGTGGTCTTGAACAGGCTTTGGATCTCTTGAGTCTTCCTTAGATGTATCTAAATCCATCTCACAGTTAGAGTAAGCATATATTTTATTTGAAGTAAATCCAGACTCTTAATTGGACTACAGGGTTTCTAATAGGTTTGTGTTAATCTTCATCACGGGTCATACCCTGGCGCTTCTATTCCTCAGCATTCCAAACTGCTTTCCAACACCAGCCTTAGTACAGTGGTTCTGCTAGCCCACAGTGTCCATCTGGCTGCTTTTGTGGGAGGGTTATACTCAGGCCTTACTGCCACTGTCCATACCTCAGAAAACCTTCCTAAGTATCTTATGGCTCTTAAAGTAACGAATTGGCATGTTTCCTTTAGACATTGTTGTTTCATCATCCTTTCTGATCTGTTCTCATACAGGCTCCAGGAGGGTATTATGCCTGCCATCATCCCTCATCCCTTCCCTCTTTGTGTCCCCAACATGTTCATGGAACTTGGCCAGTCTCCCCTTTTTGTCTTTAACACATCCTGTGGAACTTGCGCGCTGTGCAGGGACCTGCTGTACAGAAGTGTATGTAGTTCTCTTCACATTAAAGACAGGTTCATTAGCTAGCCTTTGGTATAGTATACTGTGTCCTTGTTCAAGGTGCTCTGCTCAGGTGAATAAATCATAACACTAATAAAATCGAAAGACTTGTATCCACATGACCCAGATGCCCTTCACAAAGAGAACCATTTCCCGGTGGAGCCAGACCAGGTTATGGCACAGATGAGATCTGCCTCACTTTTGTAAGTGTTGTTACTTGTCAGTGTGGAAAGTAAGTGTTCTGGAGCACATTTCCTCACTGTTCCTTTACACAGCTTAGTGAAATCAAGCCTCACTTATCCAGAACCTCTTGGCAGCCTCAGTTTTAAACAAATCAAGCAAGAAGGAAAAACCAATTTTGAATTAGACATGCCAGACAATTAGAAGACTGATTGCAGCAGTCTCTCACAGGGATACAAATCTAGATTGAATTTTAACATGTTTGATTTTGTAGAATAGCTTTTTAAAAAAAGTTTTGTTTGTTTTATCTGTGAAATATTAGTTTCTGGGAGTTGAGATGAAAAATGGAGACAGTGCATGTACTATGTTGGGGCTTAGAATATGGCGAGTGATAACAGTAGTAATTAGTTTAAAATGTGCTCTGGCTGGTCAAGAGGAACCAGCACTGTCTCCACATGATGCAAACCTTGTTGAAGAAGTCCAATGTGGAAAAGGGTGTAAGACACCGTGACAAGGGGAAGGGCCATGGCAGGGGAAAGCGACTGGGTGACTGGTAGTGTGCAAGCAGCTAGGATGTGTGTGTGTTGGGGGTCCACCGGCCATAGTGTGCGTGCCATTAGAGCTTGACTTAGGAACTCCGTATTGGTTGGTGTGAGTCTCCTTGGCATGTGGTGTGAAGGTGTCGTACTCCTCTTTACAGCCACCACACTAACGTATTGTTTTAAAATTAGAGAAAAGATTTTGAAGACAGTTGTAATGATTATCTATTTTTCCACAGCCAACTCTTGGTTGTTAGAGAAAAAAAGAAAGAAGTGAGGGTATATAAGATGTCACTGAAGACCTTATGGCAGACAGTAATATTAATATCATCGGTGGATCCTAAGGGCGTCAATGCCATCCTGAAGTTTTAAACAGGTGAACTTCTTGGTTGCATCGTGCATTTCTGTATAGATTGTATTTAATGTGTGAACTTGTGTTTAAAGTATCTCCTTACAAGGATAGAGGTATGTGTGGCTTCTATTAGATTTTTACTAAAAAATTTAATAACTTAGTTTTGGTCTTTGTAATTACAAGAGTAAGCTTGGTCTACTGAGTCCATCAGAAAGCCAGCTCTTTGCTCCTGTGACCCTAGTGTGAGTAGTGTACCAGATGGATGAAGTAGCGTGGCTAACACACTTAGATTAAGATGAGTTCTCATTGGTGGATGACCATTTTGCCTTGGATTACTTTCCTTGTGTAAATCCTGTTTTGATGTTTATAATGTATTATTCTGAAAGTTTAGCTGTTCTTGTTTGTTTGTTTTCCAGATATGGTTTCTCTGTGTGACCTGTCTTGGAACTCACTTTATAGATCCACCTGCCTCTGCTTCCTAAGAGCTGGGATTAAAGGCACGTGTCACCATGCCTAGCAATCTTTATTGTTAATTGAAATATTACCTTCTTCAGTGAGTCACTTGTCTGTTGGCATTCTTTTTAAGGGGAAGAAAACATATTTAGGGAGTGTTACCAAATATCACAGACTGGCAGAGTATATAAACAAGTAGGAAGTATCTAGATTTTTGTGCTTTTATACATCTGTAAAATTGTTGTAATTTCAGGCTAACAGGAGATCAACAGATTATAGTCAGATTTCATCCTTTTACAGATGAATGAATCAATCAATCAGTCAATTCAGACTAGCGTAGTTATGTAGTGAGCCTAGTTGCCACATTTCTAGAGGGTTTCAGCATGGGATCTCATCATACAACTCTTGCAGTTGATGCCAGCTGTTTAACCCTGCAGTTCAGTCATTTGTACTTCCGTCATCATGAGCAGTTGTCTGGGTTAGACTAGGGAGCTATAGAAGCAGGGACAGAGAACCTGTCAGTCTGGAAGTTTTTTCTCAAGTGTTCCTTCTTCAGTTGTGAAACTCAGAGTCATAGGAATGTTCTGACCAGTGAGGAGGTGGTACTGTTGTTTTTTGTCTTGTGTGTCAGAAAATGCTTGCTCTGAATATTTGGTTTATAGTATGGATGTGTATAGCGTTTTAGATACTGTTTACTTAGGAGAAATAGGTTATGTGGTAGTGATGGATTAATCCTAAAATCTCAGTGTGTTATGAATGGTGAAGGCTGACTTTTGCTTTTCCAGTCTTTGGAGAGGTGGGTTCCCTGTGACGTCTTGTGGATCTGTGTGCTCTTCTGTGACGTCTGCCCCTCGGCCTCTGGCAAGTGGAGAGGAAGGCAGGTTACGCACTGCTAATCTGCTCTCCGGAACCCAGCATATGGGATTGCAGAAATGCTGGGGAATGTGGAAGGTTCAGAGAGCGCTACTGAGCTCTTGGGTGGTCTTGGAGGTTTGAAAGCATTGCCCATTGTCACATGTCCTTCCCTGTTACCTTGGGCTAGCTACCACTTGTTTATAGCAGTGTGTTTCTAGAACTTTTTTGTAGCTTTTGTATTATCTATTAAATATTAAAGCTTCACAATGGTATGCCTCATTATTATTCTTTTATTCTTAAATTATATCCCATTGTTTTTAAACTTGTCCTCTTTAGTTCTAGGAAAGACTAAACTTTCCATTGTAATTTCGTTCCGCTCGTTTTTGTTTGTTTTTTTGTTTTCTTTTTTTGTTTATACTTCTCTAAAGCTGTTTTTTGACTACAGGAAGTCCTGGATTGATTTGTTTATTAAGTATTTTCTCAGTTTTTCATGTCAGTCTTTGGGGGGATTGTTTTTGTTGTTGTATTTAAATATTTCACAATGAATTTTGATTTCTTGCCCTTCTGCAATCCCTTTAAAGGAGTAATTCTGGACTTATTTCAAATTTGTGATCTTTTCTCAGGCATGTTTCTTTTTGTCTGCCCTCTAGAAGGTTTGAACTGTAGCTCTTTCAGTGCAGTATCTGGAAAGCATACTTAGCGCATGCTCATCAAGTGTACTAAGCTGCCACTGTCTAAGCCGGTTAACATGGTTTCCAATGGTCATACTTTTCTTTTGCTTTCAGGTTTTTATTTTTTGTGGGAGAATGGTAGTATGCTGATCCGATTTTTGTCAACGGGACACAAGCTACAGTTATTTGGGAAAAGGAACTCTAAATTGAGAAAATGCCTCCATAAAATTTGCTTGTAGGTAAGTCTGGAATACATTTTCTTGATAATGATTGATGTGGGAGGGCATCAGTGACAGCTGATTTGGGAACAGTGACAACTCCTGGTTGATAGAAGAAAGCAGGCTGAACAAGCTATGGGGAGCAAGATGGTAAGCAGTGTTCCTTCCTGGCTTCTGCTTCAGTTCTTGCTTCCAGGTTCTCACTGTGATCAGAATGTTTAAGCCAGATAAGCCTTTTCCTCCCTAAATTGCTTTTGGTCATACTGTTTTATCATAGCAGTAGAACCCCAGCTAAGACAGCTAAGACAATTAACGTGTATGCTCTTACTTGTTCATGATGGATTTTTGTTGCTTTTTGTGTTTTGAGAGAGTTTTGTGGTGTTTCCAAGGTTGGAACTCACTGTGTGTCTATGCTGAGATCCTCTGTAGCTCCCATTTTCATTCCTCAACCTCTCAAGTGCTAGGATTACCAGCCTGTACTACGTGTTCTGCTCAGGAATCATGCGATTGATCAGGCACTCACACAAGAGTAGCAAGAGTAGCTTGCCCCTTCCCCCTTTTTTCTTTTGGTAGAGCTCAGACTCAGGCTCTAGTTATCCATGTTAGGCAAATAAGCACGTCACCACATTCTGTATCTCCAGCCCAAAGCCTGTTGATGTCCAGCGGGCAACACGGATAGTTTTAAGTTGTATATCGTGTTGTTTTTTTGTTTTTTGTTTTTTTTTTTTTTATCATGTATTTATTTATTTTGGAAGGGTTGTGCTGTACTGCAGTGTGGAGATCAGATGGTATCTGACAGAAGTTGGTTCTCCTTCCACTATTCATGTTTTGGACCAATAGCCCTTATCTGTTCAACCAACTCACTAGCCCATGTTGGATCATTTTAAAAAGTGGAAAGAGATGTCATCTTTGGGAACTCTCAGTATTGATTATTTTAGGTAGATTAGTTTAGAAAGCAACCAGTCTTTTTGTGAGATTGTCATGTTTTTTTAGCTTAATATGGCTATATTAAGTGATGATTACTTTAAGAGAGCCTCTGTAGCTCTAATGATATATGGATAAAGTTTACTCTACCTCTTTGTACAGTTAAAAGTCTTATGTGAATTACTTATTTCTCAAATCTGTTATCCTAAAATGTTATTCTTTCTTTTTATTGATGCTATGTGAGTTTCACATCATGCACTCCAGTCCTGCTCATCTCCCTGTCCCCTTATATCCTCCCTTTGCCCTCACAACCTCCCCCCCAAAATAAAACACACAAGCAAGCAAACGACAACAAAAAGCCAAAGAAAACCTCTCACCCTGGAAGTTGTACCGTGTCACAGTGTGTCCTACAGTGTGTCCCTCCGTCCACACATCTTCACTGCAGATGCTCATTGCAGTGACTCACTGGTCTGATTTGATATCTCTGGCTTCTTGGTGTCACTGGCTTCTGTGACACCATCAGTATTGGATCTTCACCAGGATTCATCCCGGTTATCCTGGTTTTTTTGTTTTTTTTTTTTTCCCAGTGTCACAGAGATCCGACAGCTTTGGATCAGCAGGACTGACCCTTTTATGCATCCCGAATGTTCACAGATGACATAGTAAAGTCTTATTCTTAATTTGAGTATAATTTAGAAAAGTAAATTATTTTTTACTATAAAGCTTATAACTTTTGGCAGAGTAATAAAAGGGCTTATGTGTTTTATATGCAAAAATATTTGAATAATGAACAAATTTCTTTTTGAATTAAAACTTCTGTGTTAAGATCTTGAGACTCTTAGAACAATCAAAGCAACTTTGTTACTTTTTTGTCATTGTTTGTATGTCTGTGTTGCCTGTCAGATTCTGAGTTAACTTTCTTAAACTGTAGTAGTTGAGTGTATTGAAGATATTTTTTTATATGAGCTAGTTCTTGGAGAGGAGAAATCACCTGATTGCATCATTCTGCCATAATTCTTCTGCCCCAGAGTAAAACATAGATCTTTTTTGGGTCTTATATAATTGTTCAGTTTGCCCAATATTTTCCCCCTTGGGTTAAAATACACTTTGATGAGAATAGTCTCCTCAGTAACTGCGTTTTGTAATCTGAGGCTTTGTGGCAGTAGGACTTTGCTCCTGCTTACGGGCTTCAGCTGCCACTGCACTACAGGCCCCAGTGCTCTTGAGGCAGCTTGCTCAACGCCTTCTCTGCTGTGGGCAGTCCTTGTGCCAGCGTCAGGGGCCAGATACGTGTCGAGTGTTTAACCACCTTCGACTTCGCATTCACTGCAGCTAAAGCCATTCTGTTGACCTTTATTAAGCTGTTAGTTGATGTTTAATTTTCAGCTGTCAGTTATGACATTATATCAGTGAATTCGAGTGAAACAATTATATTTACAACACAGGGCAGGGTTTATTATATTACATAACCTATCACTAAATATTACAGGAGATCTTTTCAGATAGTAAGCTGTAATTGTACTTTAGTCAATGAAGTGGGTATGTGGGGATTATTAGGATTTTAATAGTAAGTTAGCTTGCATGTGATTTTCTTTGTCAGTGTTGCCCTGCTGCCACTGGTTTATTATTGAGGAAACAGTTTGTTGAAATGTCTGATAGCTATTTTATAGATAACTTAGCCTAGGTACAGAGTGAAGGAATAGGTGTGTTCGTTACCCTGTATTTTCACAATAGTCACCAATTCTCCAACATGAAAACTGGTGTCTTCCATTGTGACACTGTCCAGAGTTGAACAGAACCCACAGATAGGAGCTCAGTCCACAGACTTCCCCATGCAGATACCTGCTTCAGGTTCTGGCCAGTCTGCCGTCTTGCTGACTAGCCGTAAGTCAGGTTCCCATAACAACCTCTTCTGATTAGATGATTTGTTGAACTCAGTAAAACACTTAGCTCAGTGATTTATTGTAAGGGCTACGTACCAAGAACAGCTGAGTAAAGGCTGCATGGGATGAGGTACTGGGTGTGGCTTGCAGTCCCTGTGCGCCCTCAGCATTCCCTGTTCTCCCAGTACTTTGTATGTCCAGAAGCTGGTGATCTAGTAAAGAGTGTTTCTAGCTCCCAAACAATCTCTTCACTCTTCCCTTCCCTCCTGATGGGGGGGGGGGGGGGCTAAAAGTCACCACTCTGTAGTCGAAGTCACTTTATTAGGTTACACTCTGGTACGATTGAAAGCCAACTGTCAGGTCTGGGAAGATACTTTCATCACTCAGGAAAATGTAAGGATTAGCATAGCTGTGTCAGGAATGAGACAAAGACCAAAGGTTTCTTATGATGCTATGCATACTGCTTTGAATTAGCGTGAGCCAACTGAGGTATAAATGTGTATAGTAAATTTACTACACTAAAAGACAGCACTGAGTTGATAGGTTGTGTACCACCTATAGCCTGGTGACCTGGCACTCAGTATGTAAACCAGGCTGCCAGCAAAGGCATAGGGGTCTGCCTGATTCTACCACTGGGAAGAAGGGCATGCAAAATCTATTCCTTTTTAAAGTGCAACATGTTAAACGAATAAAATAATTAAGGGAAAGTGAACACTTCATTTCATTAATTCTTAAAAGCTAGCTGCATCAACTTTTTGTGTGTGATTGAGGCTGTGAACATATTTTTTTCTGTTTAATGTAGCAGGAATGAAGTAAATGAGGTTATAATAAAAGATTCTTAGAAAAAGTTCATGTAAAACTTGCTCTGCAGGTTAGACATACAAGTCTCCTGCATGCTTTAGAGACTAAGGTTCTTTGTCTGATGGAAATCTGGAACTCAGCAAGGAAGACAGTTAACTGGCTCCTCTGTAAACTTTGGTTAGCCTATAAATAAGCCTGCTTAACATTTACTAAGACTTTTGCTGTCATCTTCCTTTATGGTAACTTTATGTCTAATTATTTTTAGGTTAGTATTTTTGTAATTCTAAAAAATACTCTATTGTGTTTTAAAATTTATTTTTAAATGATTTACAGGCCTTTAAAGAAGTAAAAGAAATTTTATTGTATTTCTTAATTTGAGATATTTTTATTTGCATGTACATGCCAGACATTGTGAAGCTGGCCTTATGTACAAGACCCCAGAGTACAAAGTGAAGGGCTTTGTTACTCAAAATAGAAGCAGTCGCCACTGTCAGCAACTGTCTTGGCTTTCTGGGGCCAGGCCCTTTTGTGAGAGTATGAACTAAGATGGAGGAGAAAGCTAGACAACTGTCTCAGATGCTACTGCGATCATGCAAGAGGGCAGCTTGGAACTAGAATCTTTTGCCAAACGCTATTACATTATGCATGCATGTTGAAGGTAGTTGTGATTGGCCTTTCATGAAATTGTATATGAGGCTTCAGATCAGAGAAGGAGCCAAGGGTGGTTCTGAATGCTTTGAACTGAGCCTTGGAAAGAGTGAGGTAGTTATAAGTGAGGTATCTGTAAGCAGAAGTAGGAGCATGCAGGTAAAGCAAGTTGGGAAGTGAGGTGGAAAAAGTACAGTTTACTGTAAACCTGCTGTGTTTTAGCTGTCTATAAGACATCTGAAAGGCAATGTCAAGAGGAGAGTTGAATATAATTGGTGAGATAGGAATTTGGGAGTGGATGATCCACAGCTACTATCATCACCATAGGCATAAGTATGGAATTGTGGAGTGTGTGTAGAGACAGAAGAGGTGAACATGTCTGAGTGTTTTGTGTCTTCCATCAAGAAGAGTCTGGAAAACCAGCAAGGGAGTCTAAAAGTGAGGACCTCATAGAAAAGACAAAGTTTTGTTGAGCAAGAGGAGTTTCATAGCATCTTGGATAAGAACTGAGCAGCTGGCTGCAGCCTGCTTGCTGTGGTGGAGAAGGGTGGCTGGTACACAGAGCGGAAAGCAGGAGTTCTTGCGGCTGGTTTACAAAGGTCTCCAGGGACTACTGCTGTGAGGGGATGCAGACACAGCCATGGCTGTGGAGAAGTGGGGGTTTATGTGAGAAATAACATTTCTAGGAATGAGCCAACGAAGGTGAAACTGTTAAGAAATGAGGTGGGCAAAGACAAGGTTGTGCTGTCTTTAGGAAGGAGCCCA